GTTTTGAAATAAGGTTTACCGTGGTGAAAGATATTGAATTTATCGTGGAATCTCTTTTAGTATTTTTGCATTTAGTACACTATAGTATTTTAGTATCATCTATTTATATGTGCTTTATACATACATACGTACATATATAAATGTCGTTCATCCTGCTTATTATAAACAGAGCATTTATTTAAATATTTGTATCTATAAAAGAACGCATAAACATAAAAAAAATATCTTAAAATAATTGTCGGACTTTGTCCATTTCTAATATATATATATATATATATATATATATATATATATATATATATATATATATATATATATATATATATATTGACCTGGGGAATGTTGTGCTTGCACAGAAACTGTTGCGCAAGCCATCGTCAGTTATAGAAAACCTGTGTTGTGTTGAGACGGCCAGGCTGTACACACAAGGAAAGACCCTATGGCTGTCAGACAATTTCTCCGAACACATCATCCCTTACATCTGGCCACCTAACTCCCCAGATTGCAACCCTCTCGATTATTACTTGTGGGGCACAGTTGAGCGAAAGGGACAAGAAAAATACTCCTTGTAATACCAAAGATGAACTGAAGGCAAGGATTATGGCAGCATTCACCAACATAAAGAGGGGAGGCCGTCCAGAAGAGTTGCATTAGATTCCGAAGTCATCTGGAGGCCGTGGTTGAAGCCGATGGCATTCTTATTGAATAGATTTACTTTTTCGTATTTTAAAATATTCATGCGTCAGTTTGGTAAATAGATTTGTGAAAATGAGATGTCAGTGTTATTTTCAAATATAGTTTTGAGGTATGCTATGTTTATGACGTACATTGTGCAATATTAAATCTGGGGCTTATGGTAATATAAAAGTGGAAAGTGAATTCAACAGCCAGATGCGACATTCTATTTCATGCTGAACGCAATCCTCAGACTGTAGAGTATATTGTTTTATCCACTAATTATTATTATATTGATATATAATATATATTGATAGATGATTATCGTTGTTCAAAATGCACTGTTCAATATGTGCAGGAATTGCGACGAAATTCGACAGGTGACAAGTTAAGCTACGAGAAAGTGTGTTGCACGTGTGACCAATGTGGGAATTTCATGCTGTTTTTGACTGTTGGTATTGGAGGTGCAATCTTCCAAAATGCATATGAATTCATAAACAGACTGTGTCTAAAGTACTTGAACAAAAAGAACAGAATAAACATAAACCTTGGAGAGTTTATCACCAATTTCAGTTCCAGCATACAGCATCATATTAAAGAAAAAATGCAACAAAAATACAATGAAAAATGAAAGAGACAGACCTTGTCGGTTGAATGTAATCGGGCTTGTTTCGATATATAATATATATATATATATATATATATATATATATATATATATATATATATATACGAGGTTTGATAAAAAATATCGGGACTGTTTCTATAGTAACAGACTTAAAGTACGCAGAGTATAGCCGCCCTTCACCCAGTTAAAATATTCTTGCTTATTTCGATTGTTTATAGGAACTTGGAAAGTAGGTGTGTAGAGTATGATCATCTCCCCACACCACAGGGGGCTCCGTCAGTGACTATGACTTGTGCAAGTTACAGGATTCCTCATGTTCGAGAATCCCCATATTCCCCAGATTTCGCTTCTTGCAACTTTTTCCTCTTTTCAAAAATCAAATCTCCCTTGGAAGGGACAAGTTTTCAAAACTGCTCGCTATCCCCCAAAAAAGGAATTCTAGGAAGACATCCGTTAATGGAAACGATGCTGGACAAATTCTGTCACTTCAGAAGGGGAGTAATTCTTAGGAGATTAAATTGTTTGTTTATCTAATCGCTATCACCCCATGCAAGGCAGTAAAGCCACTAAGACAAAAGAGGTTACAAGGTGTGGAAGAATTAAAAAAAATGAAACATTAATAATGAGCGGTAAGAGAAAAGAGTAATCAGGAGAAAAGTAGATTACCATTGACATTGCATTTAAATTTTTTCAAATGAAATTTGGCCGGAATGCATGGAGCCGGAAGGGAGTTCCACAAGCAAGAAGTGCGAGAGAAGAAACCGTTATTATAGAAGTTACGGCTACATGGAGTATTGCTGCCATATACGGTCTGGAGCCCCTTCTGTTTGTCTCGGGGTTCTTGATAAGATCCAGAGGCGGATATGCAATATAATTGGCCCTGTTCTGGCATCTCGTCTACAGTCACTTTCTCACAGACGTGTTGTCGCTTCTCTCTGTCTTTTTACAAATACTTTCATGGTAATTGCTCCGAGGAGCTGCATTCTCTGGTTCCCAGACTTCACGAGTTCAAGCGCCCTACGAGGCTGGTATCCCGCTCTCACCCTTTCACTGTCGAAACTATTAAATGTAGCCGTCTCTTCTACTCCAATAGCTTACATATCTCGCGCCTCTCGCCTGTGGAACACCCTTCCCTTTTCCTGTTTCCCTGATAGCTATAATCTCCAACTATTCAAATGTAATGTCAATCGACATCTCCAGTTGCCTTGATCTATCCACTATCCTTCTCCTCATCCTTTCTTCTATCACTCCTATCTGATCTTGCTCCAAATCTTCTGTAATCCCTTGAAAACCTAGTGGCTTCCCGCCTTGCTTGGGGTGAAACAGTAAACAGCTCAACTGTAAATTGTTGAGATATCGACACTAGTCTAGTACTGTGCTTATATTTATAAAGTCTAGGTACCATAGCAAAGAGTTCAATCGAACAAGTACCATGAAAGTATTTATAGAAAGGGTACTCTTTTTATAGTACCAGCCCCGATACTTTTTTGATCAAAACTCATATATATATATATATATATATATATATATATATATATATATATATATATATATATATATATATGTGTGTGTGTGTGTGTGTCTGTGTGTGTGTCTGCGATTTTAAAATTGTCATGATGATGTTTAAAATTTTTTCGCCAAAATCGAAAGTCCCTGTTCTTTTCGCCTGTTTAGTAGGTATAATTGAATGAAGACTTACCTGAAAATAAAAAGAAAAAAAAAAATTTCATTACATAAAATTGTCAACATTCAAAAGACGATCAGTTTGAATATATAGGAAAATAAAAAAAAAAGCAAAACTGCTATAAAACCTCATTCTCTTTACATATTGGTAGACACATATGTTTGCATCAGTAAAAGTTCAAATGGCTTAAGCATTTCCTATTCAGTAGACAGTCGATTTGAAACTGAACAGCGAAATGATCCCAGTACGACAAGACGAACTATCTCCGTGGAGACAATGCTGACAAAATAAGCTACCCCGCATGACACAGAGAAAACTGGAAGAACCATTAGGTAAAGCAGTCAGACACAGGGTACGGCAGAAATACCGCCATATTTGAAACACTCACCTGTGTGGTGTTAGTGACGTGTCTTAGTGAACTTAGTTTATATCATAGATGCTATATACTTATTTAGACATAAAAATTGTTTATAAAAATATTTTTAATAGATATTATTTACGTATTAAGGCATAAATAATTTAGTGAACTTAGGCAAATGGGAATGGTGTCTAGCTAATGTCTTACCATTTGTTTCAGTTAGCATCATAACTTGGAGCGGTACACACCGTTCTTTTACTGTTGAAACATCTTTTAAGATTGGTGAATCTGTAATCGCAATAGAGATATTTTCGTGCTCATTGGAATGTTGCTGTTCCGGTTAGAAAATCGATATTGCTCTGGGTTAAGAATTTCAGACGTACAGATTCAACGAGTAATAAAGCATCTGGGAGACCTCCAAGCACTCGAACTACAACAGTATATGGCCACCATTTTGAGGATGTCATTTGTAAAACCAAATCGAATAATGTGTGTGTGTGTGTGTGTATGTGTGTGTGTGTGTATGTGTGTGTTTGATCTGAGTATTTCTGGAATATAGTGTGCTTAACTCAAAAATTATTTCAATTACTGTTGTTAATACCAGAAAATGGACCATTATTAAGTTAGCACCTATTAAGAAATGAATTCAATTTTCCAATACAGTCACCTGACGAGAGGACAAATATCACTGTATTTCATTCATTGCTATACATAAATATATATCATTAATGAAATAACAAAACAAAGTAAATATTTGCTAATATTAACTAATATTAAAATTAATATTAACAAATACTTTTGGTGACTCCTCAAACACATCCCTACCACACACTAAGACATACAAATAATGCACACACTCAATTAAGCTGAAAAATCGAATCATCCTTGTTAATGACTAAAGGTATGGCCGAAAACGCTTGGAACTATAAAACATTTGGACAGTTCTTACACACCCTTTGTCCAGAAAAGAAAGCTCTTGTTCGAACACCAGAAAACTTAAATAAGAATCTTAACCGTAGTACCTTGTCTGTCGTTTTTAATGAAACATGCATAAACGAAGGATTGCTGCCTAAATATACACCTATATATGTATATATATATATATATATATATATATATATATATATATATATATGTGTGTGTGTGTGTGTGTGTGTGTGTGTGTGAACAGCAGACAATGCGACTTTTGGGAAGCCGTATATATATATATATATATATATATATATATATATATATATATATATATATATATATATATATATAGCAGCGGAGATATTATTTTGCCTAGAATTATCTCGGATGGGAGTATTTTTGTTTTGACTGCGTTATTTGGCCGGAAGCATTCGCTCAATAGATTTTCTGACTGACATGATCATATCAAATGAAAATCTTATTGCTAGCACCCTTTTTTGTGGGTTTTTTTTGTTATTTTTGTTTATTTATTTTATTTTTTGTGGCGGGAAAACATTCCCCATTTTTTTTTATCTGACGTATTTATTTTTATTTCATTTATTTATTTTTTCCTGAAAAACTTTATAAATCCTTTGTCCGGTGAATTTTCCTTTCATTTATATCCTTTGATAACGAGATGGACGAGGTGAATTTTTCTCGTATTTCTGCCATCATTATTATCTTTATTATTATTATTATTATTATTATTGTGATTGAGAGAGAGAGAGAGAGAGAGAGAAAGAGAGAGAGAAAGAGAGAGAGAGATCAGCATACGAAGAAACTGACGCATGAGTACAAATATCTGAAGCCATCATGTTAACCAATCTGATAAGTGTATATCAGGCCCATGCATCCCAGCCAAATGTATGTTATACAGAGAAAGGTTTTGATAAAAGCTTGCTACTAATACCATTCTTCCTCCTCCTCCTTCTTTGCCTATTATTATTATTAATTTTATAAAGAGAGGATGACGCACGCTAAAAAGTGACGCTGAGACGCACACATACTCAATATATTCATCATGTCACGTAAGAAAAATCCAGTTACGTGCATTACACACAAATTTGGGCGATATAGTGATAGCTTCTGAGAAACACATTATTATTATTATTATTATTATTATTATTATTATTATTATTATTATTATTGAATGAGAGAAAATTACGCCAACAAAATGGCGCTAGGTATCAAAATACGAATCATAGAATGGAGTAATGGATAGCGGTTCTGATTGAGGAATCGGAGAGCCGAGTTCGAATTCCAGTCGAATCCATTATATTCGCTTACTAGCTAATACCCTTGGGAAAGGTATGAATCCTCTTCTTCTCCCCTAACCTATAGGTAAATAGCAGGACAGACCGAATTCTATAGCCTTGGATGGCAACAGGTCTACTGCAGAAAGGAATGTCAACCTACTCCGGGAAAAAATCTGCCGAAAGATACGTGATCACTTAAGCGTGTGCCACGCATGGCACATAACTGACTGAATATACAAATTATGGGGCAACACTAAGTGGTGTAATGTTTAACAAGTTTGTCTCGCTAGAACAATTACGACTGAGTAGTGAGTTCGAACCTCCCTGTGTTCCTAATAACTTCGGCCTTGTGCCACATCTGTGCTACTCTAAGAAGGTACCCATAAAATATCTATCATGATCCTTTTTCAAATCAAAACTTAGATCGAGTCATTTATATGAATGCCAAACCCGTTCAAGATATCTAAAATGTCAACTGAATAAAACTATTTTCAGTGATGGATGGTTAAAAATGTCTTTGAGCGAGTGAAACCTGTTTGTCTTCGATCCTTGTCTACTAGTGCTACAGAATCACAGAGAAAGAACCTACCATTCTTTCATCCTGTTGCCAGATCTGGTCTGGTGCTTCTGTTGTACATCTTGAGATTCCTGAAAGAATCCAAAAAAGGATCTGCAATATAATCAATCCTAACCAGGCATCTCGATTACAGTCACTTTCTCACCGACATGACGTGGCTTCCCTCTATCTTTTCTACAGATATTTTCATGGCAACCGCTCTGACAAGCTTTTTTTCCCTGGTGCCCCGATTTCATGAATTTAAACGTGCTACTAGATTGGCATCTAGGTCCCACATTTTACTGTTGAAATAGTGAAATGCCACCGCCTCTTCTACTCCAAGAATTTCTTTTTTCGCAGTTCCAACTTATGGAACTGCCTTCTGTTTACTTACTTCCCTGATAATTAAAATCTTCAAAAATGCAAATGCAACATCAATCGGCATCTTCTATCTTCTTGAATCTCGACTGCAGTCACTTTCTCACTGACGTGACGTGGCTTCCCTCTGTCTTTTCATGATGACTGCTGTGACTAAAAAAATTTAAGCATGCTACTAGATTGGTAGCTACATTCCACTCTTACTGTTCCTATAGCTAAATATTACTGCCACTTCTAAGCTAATATTTTTTCTCGCACTTCCTGCTTGTAGAAATTACTTCCCTGATGACATCAATCTTTAAAAATTTAAATGCAACAATCAAGCGCCATCTTCTGTCCTCTTGAATCCCGTTCATCCGTTGTCCTTTTCTGAAACGTCCCTATTCTCAGTCTTCTCTTTCACTTTCATTTTTACTTTCACTTTCACTACCCGCCTGCGTACTAGGAGAATCCCCGCCTTGCCTGGGCTGAAATGATTTGAAAAATCTTTCAACGGCAGCAACAACTAAAATGGATATCCCATGTAACTCGAGTTATTATTCAATCATCGAATGCTCAAATCGGGTGTATACACTGAAGATTAAGTATCACAGGTATTCTTAATCGCGCAGCACCTTCCTAAGTATTCTAGTCGTGTTCAGTCATACTGTCGTTTGGACGGGTCGAAATGTCTATTTCATTTCTAGCTTGTATAGCATTTTTAGGCTTTTCAACATAGTTCCCAGTGTTCCAGTAATGACTAGAACTACTTTTATTTTAATATTCTACGAACTCCCTGAGCTCATTTTGATTTCATCCTGAATTGTGTGGTTTGACGGAAGAGTCAATTTTTGGGGTTTGGATTGTTTGCTTCTTTTGAATATCAAAATCATTTGCATAATTCTCAATCGGTTACAGTTCCCACCCAATCATGCTTATTATTTCCTAGTTTATTTGTTATATTTGCACGTGATATAATCAGCTAATTTTATATTCTATTTGATTTTACTTGTTTGTCTAAAAGAAGAACTTGACTGCGATTACTGGGCACGATATCATATTGTTTTCTTTGCAATATTTTTTGTTGTCGTTTGAAATCTCCATGTTTCTTCCCGGTTTTAACTTTTCTTTTGGTAGTGTTGTCATCTATCTTTTTTGCATAGGTCACTCCTACATCATATTTCTGGCTGTCGCAATCGGTCTTTCATTACAGTGTAGCACTCAAAGTCATTTGATAGTAGAGTTGACACAACACCAATGCTGACGAGTCGTCTCCCCGCCTCTTTTCTTTTCGAATGAAGTCTACCAACATCATCTCTATCATTATTAGTATTTTATTAGTAGTATTTTATTATTAGTATTTTATTAGTTTTATTAGCATTATTAGTATTATTGTTATTTTGGCGCAATGCGTCACGTAAGTTTCTAATATTGGAATTGCTACCGAAAAGAAGTTAGCTTTTCATTTTTTTTTAAATGTCAGGTTACAACTTCAACTCTCTTCTCTCCAATTCAAAATCCTCTGCTCCACCCCAAGTAACTCGTCTGTTTTCTGTCCCTACCCAAACAATCATTATTCCTCCGTTAATAAAAAAAAAAAAGAAAAGAAAAGAAATAAAGACGTATTTAACAATGGCGGAATGTCAACGTAAAATCTCAATCTTTTTGAGGACGGTCATCTAAATTGCCGATTTTGAGAGTTTTTATTCTACTACTTTTATTTTTACTTTTATTTTCCTTTTTTTTTTTTAAACAAATACTCGGCCTCGTCAGATTTCGTGAAGCATAAAAGAATATTACCATGACTCAAGTTTGGTGCCGTTGAAAATGGCGGCGTCTACGTGAAATTGCGAGATTTGTTTTGCGCGTGACGTCATTCGATACGGGGCAGCAGTAAAAAAAAAGAAGAAAACATTTCAGTTAATGTCGTTTCGTGTCATTAAAGGCAGATTGGACGGAGAGATGGGGAAAGAGAGGTAAGTAGTTTTTGGCTTAAAGGAAATGGATATAAAGAAAGAGAGATAAAGAAAAATAGAAAAAAAAAAAGGACAAAACGGGAAATAATGATTTGAAATTTATAAACCCTAAAGAAGTCATTTTTAATATATTTGGAAATAAGGCAACGACCTGTTGAAAAGAATGTGCGTGTTTCTATGAATGTTTCACAATAACAATAAATCCGTAGCCATCTGATGAAAAGAAAAAGCACCGTTCTGCACAATAGATATGCATTTCGCAACATAATCTTCTTTCTTGTTACTGCACTTAATTCAACATTGAATAGCATAAATCGCGCATTATACATTGGGAATTTCAGATGCATTTTCCAAATTTTGTAGTGTCAAGCTTCAAAATACTGATGCAGTCGCCAAGTCCAACCTCCACGGGTAGAACCCGCCATGCCATTCACATTGTAGCAAACGGACCTAATTTTCTCCATATTATTTCTCACCAATAGAATACAAAGGGGATGACAGTGGTTTTTCTACAATGTGCGTGGCACAGAGGGTTCTAGCCGTGAAGGTTGGAACTAGGAATGTAGTTCGTCTGAGCACGTTCCAAGGAAGTAGCAATAGGACAGTGAGATGCTCGTCTGTGAGGCGTGGTTGTAGGGTAGAAAATAATTGTCACCCGAAAAGACCCGGAAACGCTTTTCAACGTCTATCGAGACTGGGACGTTAGGACTTGGGAGCCCATGTCCATATAACTCAATAGTTCTCCATTTTTAGGCCGGATCTGGCTCTTGAAAAGGGAGAGAATAGCGAGAGGAGTCAGGCACCTACTCTAGCGGTACAGGGAACCGACCTTTTTTTTCGGCATCTTTATCGATGAATCGTATGTAGGACTTCCACTTGAGGCCTGTGTGGAAGTTAGGGCCCAATAGTCGTTACCTGAGCGAATATCCATTTATCTTGACTGGTGCCATAATGGTAATATTAGTCGTTTCCTCACAAAGAAGCAATCGACATTCATTTAACGAGCAGCCAGTCCTGCTTTCGATTGTAGTTTATAAAATATTTCTCTTAAAACTGTAAGATTTTTCAGATTCAGTAGCTGTTATAGCTCTTTCCACTACAGATATTGGGTTCCTTTATAACCTTTTATTTGAAGAAATCTAAAATATCAACATCTTGATTGTCATTATGTTCTCTTCGAGTAACATGGGCTATCCACTTTAGTTGTTACCACTGCTGGCAGTCCTCAAGTTGTGTGATTTCTGTTATTTGGTACAATTCTTATTAATTGTCGTAGTACAGGCACCAGTCAGTTATGTGCCATGCGTGATACACGTTTAGGCGATCATGTATCATTCGATACATGCTTGAATAGGCAGATTTTTCCCGGATAGGAGAATTATAACTACTCTTTTCTAGTCGACTAACTGAAAGTTACAAAGTGAGCTAGCTGTTATGGCAGCGGAAAGTGGAAATCAACGAACCGGATGTAAATGACACCCTAATTCACACAAATGCACTTGGAAAAGGAATGAATCAATCTTTTCTGGCCCACGCACTTATCTATATATAACATTCTATAACTTCTTCAAGCCCGTCCATCCGTCACACCTTCTAAAATAGCCATACATTGACCGATCTAAACTAAATTTTGGGGAGAAGTGCAAACAGGTAAGGGGTACAAAGTAGAGTTGGTTTTACTAGGCTGTGTACCTTAGTACAATAAATTTTAATTGATCTATCTATATATAAAATTCTGTGATTTCTGTCAGTCCGTCCCACACATTCTAAAATAGCCATACATTGACCGATCTAAACTAAATTTTGGGGAGAAGTGCAAACAGGTAAGGCTGTGTGCATAATTTACAAAAGTAGAGTTGGTTTTACTAGGCTATGTACCTTAGTACAATAAATTTTAATTGATCTATCTATATATAAAATTCTGTGATTTCTGTCAGTCCGTCCCATACCCTCTAAAATAGCCATTCATTGACCGATTGAAACCAAATTTTCAAGAGAAGTGCAAACACGTAAGGGGTACAAAGCAGAATTGGTTTTACTAGGTTCCGTAGCTTGGTACAATAAATTTTAATTGATCTATCTATATATAAAATTCTGTGATTTCTGTCAGTCCGTCACACAACCTCTAAAATAGCCATGCATTAACCGATCGAAACCATATTTGGGGGAGAAGTGCAAACAGGCAAGGCCATACAAAGTACAATTTGTTTTACTGGGGTGCATTATTTTTTTGGAAAAATTAAAAGTTTTATTATTTAACAGACAAAATACTCCCAGTATTTTCAAAACAATTTATTGATTAAAATAACAAATACTTATTTAATAAGAATGCAATATTGCTTTTTTTGCGTATCTTTTCATTCAGTTCTTATATATACAAGGATCCAGTTTCCAGCCCGCCCTGCGGTTGCGAGCACCATAAACAAATCAGAAGACCAAACGCTTGAAAAAGTTAGAATTTGACCTCAGTTGTATGTTGCATGCTCAAAAGTAAGAAATCCTAAGAGTTTATTCTCCGCTGTTAAAAAAAGGAAAAGGAAACAAATAGATTTTCTTAAAATATATTGTTTACCATGAAGTCTTGTTAAATTAAATTAAGCAAATTATTAAACCACAAAGTAGGGTTTTTGTCAAAGTATTTTCGAAACACATCATCTTATTCAAATTTTATCGATTGCTTTACGAAATTGAACGAAACGTAGGCTTTGTAAATCTCAGCAAAAATTTTAGCGATAACTTCAACAATACTAAATATCGTAAGGATTTTAACAGGCCTTAGTAGCTTAAATAGCAGGCTAGACTAGGGGCAACGTGTCTTGGAGATCGATTACTCGGAACTCAGAACCGTAGATAAGGCAACGAGAACATATTTCACTATCAGTCGTAAGAAGTTTTAGCAATTCATAGATAATAAAGAAAAGGAAGGTGTGAAGAGCCATAATCATCTATATTCTTAAGGGATATCGCCAAAAGAAATGAGCTTAGGCTCGCTCCTATGTAAGCGGCTATATTCGAAGAGTAAAATGGTTTTATGCCAATCCTCCAAGATGAGAAAGGTCGACTTAAATCTAATGAAATGCTAATTCAAACTCTGTAGTTTTTCCTTTTTTTTCTTTCTTCTTTTTCGAAACCCGATCATGGGAAATACTGAAATGTACAAGCTCTAAATAAAAAAAAATGTCAATCTCTCTGTGAATGGTAAAAAGATGTGAAAAGATCTAAGCAAATAAAATTTAAATATGCAACATAAATAATAAAAAAGGAAGAGGTAATTAAAAGGAAGGAAAGAAAAGAAAATAAAAATAAGAGAGGGACAGAGAAATAAGGAAGGAAATAAAGAAAAAAATAGAAATGGCAAAAAGAAAAGAAGAAAGAAAGTTATGCAGAAAGAAGTAAAAAGAGAAAAAGAAAGAAATAAGATTAGAGAGAAAGAAGAAATAATGAAGGAATTAAAAAGAAGGTGATCAATACAAAATGAAAATGAAGGAGCGAGAAATAGGGAGAAAATCACTGAAAAAGAGAACAGAAATAGATAAAGAATAAAAATGATGAAGAAAGAAAGAAACAAGGAAAGAATGAAGGAAAGAAACAAAGAAATAAAAATGAAAATATGGAAATAAAGAAAGAATAAAATAACTAGGCGGATATAAGAATCGAAGGAAAAAACAAAGAAAGAAAGAAAGAAAGAAAGAAAGAAAGAAAGAAAGAAAGAAAGAAAGTTATTAAGTAAAATCAGGAGAGTAAAGAAAGACAAGTAAATAAAAAAGTAGAATGGAAGGAGGAAAAGAAAAGAAGAAGACTAGACGGAAAAACGACAGAAATAAAGGAAAAGATTAAGAAAGGAAGAAATCGAGATAGGAAAAAAAGAAGAAGGAAAAGCAGGTAGAAAAAAAGAAGGAAAGAAAGAAAACTAGACATACAGAAATAAGTAAAGAAAGAAAAATAGAGAATAAGAAAAAAAGAAAGAAAACATAAGCAGAAAGAAAGAAGAAACAAACAATGAGGCTTAGATACAAAGAAAGAAAGGAAAGAAAACAGAGGCAGAAAGAAAGAAAACTAGACATAACAAAAAAGTAAAGAAAGAAGACTAAGTAGAAAGATAGAAGAAAAGAAGCAAAGAACGAAACGTAGACAGAAAGAAAGAAAGATATAAATAAAGAAAGAAAGAAAGAAAGAGGTAAACACTCAAAAGGAAAAAAAAAATAGATGGAATTTACTAACTAAAAGAAAGAAAGAAAGAGGCAAATATTCAAAAGGAAAGAAAAAATAGATGGAATTTACTAACTAGGAAAAGAAGGAAAGAAAGAAAGAAAGAAAGAAAGAAAGAAAGAAAGAAAAAGAGGTAAACACTCAAAAGGAAAGAAAAATAGATGGAATTTACTAACTAGAAGAAAGAAAAAATGAAAGAAAAAAAGAAAGGATAGGCAGAAAGAAAGAAAACTAGACATAACAAAAAAGTAAAGAAAGAAGACTAAGTAGAAAGATAGAAGAAAAGAAGCAAAGAACGAAACGTAGACAGAAAGAAAGAAAGATATAAATAAAGAAAGAAAAGAAAGAAAAGAGGTAAAACACTCAAAAGGAAAGAAAAAATAGATGGAATTTACTAACTAAAAGAAAGAAAGAAAAGAATAAAATATTGAAAAGGAAAAGAAAAAATAGATGGAATTTACTAACTAGGAAAAAAGAAGAAAAAAGAAGGAAAGAAAGAAAGAAAAAAGAAATAAAAAAGAAAAAAAAGAAGAGGTAAACACTCAAAAGGAAAGAAAAAATAGATGGAATTTACTAACTAAAAAGAAAGAAAGAAAGAAAGAAAAATATTCAAAAGGAAAAAAAAAAAATAGATGGAATTTACTAACTAGGAAAAAGAAGGAAAGAAAGAAAGAAAAAGAAAAAAGAAAGAAAGAAAAGAAGAGGTAAACACTCAAAAGGAAAAAAAAATAGATGGAATTTACTAACTAGGAAAAAAGGAAAGAAAAAAAAAGAAAAGAAAGAAAAAAAAAACAAAGAAGAGGTAAACAGGAAAAACAAAAGGAAAGAAAAATAGATGGAATTTACTAACTAAAAGAAAGAAAGAAAGAGGCAAATATTCAAAAGGAAAGAAAAAATAGATGGAATTTACTAACTAGGAAAAGAAGGAAAGAAAGAAAGAAAGAAAGAAAGAAGAGGTAAACACTCAAAAGGAAAGAAAAAATAGATGGAATTTACTAACTAAAAGAAAGAAAGAAAGAGGCAAATATTCAAAAGGAAAGAAAAAATAGATGGAATTTACTAACTAGGAAAAGAAGGAAAGAAAGAAAGAAAGAAAGAAAGAAAAGAAAGAAAGAAAGAAAGAAAGAAGAGGTAAACACTCAAAAAGGAAAAAAAAAATAGATGGAATTTACTAACTAGAAGAAAAGAAAAAAATGAAAGAAAAAAAGAAAGGATAGGCAGAAAGAAAGAAAACTAGACATAACAAAAAAGTAAAGAAAGAAGACTAAGTAGAAAGATAGAAGAAAAGAAGCAAAGAACGAAACGTAGACAGAAAGAAAGAAAGATATAAATAAAGAAAGAAAGAAAGAAAGAGGTAAACACTCAAAAGGAAAGAAAAAATAGATGGAATTTACTAACTAAAAGAAAGAAAGAAAGAGGCAAATATTCAAAAGGAAAGAAAAAATAGATGGAATTTACTAACTAGGAAAAGAAGGAAAGAAAGAAAGAAAGAAAGAAAGAAAGAAAGAAAGAAAAAGAGGTAAACACTCAAAAGGAAAGAAAAATAGATGGAATTTACTAACTAGAAGAAAGAAAAAATGAAAGAAAAAAAGAAAGGATAGGCAGAAAGAAAGAAAACTAGACATAAGGAAAGATGTAAAGAAAGAAAGGAAAAAAGAACTAGGCAGAAAGAAAGAAGAAAAGAACTAATGAACGAAACGTAGACAGAAAGAAAGAAGGAAAGTAAGAAAGAATGAAATACTGACAGAAAGAAAGAAAGCATATGCAGAAAGAAAGAAAGAAAAGAAAAGAAAGCATCTGTAGAAAGAAAGAAAACTAAACATAACAAACGAAGTAAAGGAAGAAAGAAAGAAAACTAGATAGAAAGAAAGAAGAAAAGAAGCAAAGAAGGAAACGTAGACAGAAAGAAAAAAAGAAAGAAAGAACGAACGAAATATAGTTAGATAGAAAGAAAGAAAACTAGAGAGACATAAGTAAAGAAAGAAATCTAGATAGTAAGAAAAAAAGAAAGAAAACAGAGGCAGAAAGAAAGAAAACTAGACATAACAAAAAAGTAAAGAAAGAAAGAAAACTAAGCAGTAAGAAAGAAGAAAAAGAACCAAAGAACGAAACTTAGACAGAAAGAAAGAAAGAAACTAAACAGAAATAAGAAAAGAAAGAAAGGATAGGCAGAAAGAAAGAAAACTAGACATAAAGAAAGATGTAAAAAAGAAAGGAAAAAAACTAGGCATAAATAAAGAGGAAAATAACCAATGAACAAGGTAGACAGAAAGAAAGAAGGAAAGAAAGAAAGAATGAAATGCAGACAGAAAGAAAGGAATAATATAAAGAAAGAAAGAAAAACGCTTGACAGAAAGAAGAAAAAAAAGGAAGAATCTACAGAAAGAAAGAAAACTAGACATAACAAACGAAGTAAAGGAAGAAAGAAAGAAAACTAGGTAGAAAGAAAGAAGAAAAGAACCAAAGAAAGAAACGTAGACAGAAAGAAAGAAGAAAGAAAGAACGAACGAAATATAGTTAGATAGAAAGAAAGAAAACTAGAGAGACATAAGTAAAGAAAGAAAACTAGTCAGAAAGAAAGAAAAGAAGGAAAGAAAAAAAACAAAAAAGAAATAAAGAAAGAAAACTAGAGAGAAACAAGAACGGAATGAAAGAGTGACGCAAAGACAAACATGAAGTTAAAATAGAAAAAAAAAAAGAAAAGAAAAAGAAGTATCGACAGAACGTCGTTCGCAAAAACCAGTTTCCCTGACATTTTTATCGTTTTTGCAATCTACGAAAAACAAAAAAATGGCGCCCGGAGCAATAAGATACATAGCTATATTCTTCTTTCGAATGTCGACAATAGAAAAAAGAAACGAACTACACGAAAGCATTAAAAAATATGAATTTTCAGTTACAATATGACCGGTACTTGTACCGTTGACATTTCATCGGATGAAAATGCAGATTGTCGAAAGAAACAAGGGCAAAGATATGGTCGATTATTTACGCAATTTTCATTCTCCACCAGTTTCTATCACAAGCCGTTAAATGAGAAAAGAAGCCTCTTCAATTCGAAATGTTGTTTCCAATGGTTCATTAGTCAGAATGTGGTTCACTTTTCGTTTATTTTATATGAAGTCTTCAAGGCATCAGTATATATAAAGGAGAGCAGTGTATTGAATTAATGAAGAAAAAAAAAAAAGAACTGAAATGAAAGTTCTTTTCTAATACCGATTGATTACCCGACTTAGCTATGTGGGTAGCGGAAACGGTTATTCATCGAGCCGTGTTCATATTCCAAATGATTCTGTTACGCTGAAATTTCTTTTAATGATTTCACCCCAAGTAAAACAATAAGGCCACTAAGTATCTAGAGATTTCTAAGTATGAGAGAATATGAGAAAAAGAGAAAGGAAACCTTATTAAGGAGAGAGAACAATAAAAGAAGTGTAATTAAGAAGAAAGACGATAACGAATGAAATTGTACTTAAATTTTTGAAGATTAAAATTGGCTCGAAAGCATGACGATCAAAAAGTATTCCACACACAAGACAAGAAACTGTTAGCATAGAACTTATGATTACATCTCACCACATATTTGAAATACAATGTTGCCATATATATATATATATATATATATATATATATATATATATATATATGTGTGTGTGTGTGTGTGTGTGTGTGTGTGTATACAATGTGTATCTATATGTAATATCTATATGTAAAACGAGTATAATATACTAGCAGTAGATTCCGGCGTTGCCCGGGGATATAACAGTAAGAGATAGATCAAGTATCCACCATCACATAAAGACTGAAAAATAAAATTGACAAAGATTATTGTTTAAGGTTGACGGACACGCACGTCTTAATTTGTTTTTTTTTTTTTTTTTTTTGGTCAAACCCAAACTCAAACAAAAACATTGTTTTCAATCGTTATGAGTCTACCGATTGAATAGAATTTTATTATAAACAATTGTTTTGTAAATGGAATTTTTAAAGCATTCTGAATGTAAAAATAAAGAAAAAAGTGTGCAAGACAATTAGAAACACTACATGCCAAAAAAAGTGAAGTTTTGTTGAAATCGTTTGAAAAATGTAGGTAGCCTTTCTGTAATGTTTTAGTTTTAAAATTTATGATTTTTACTTATTGAATACAGTAAAAAAAATTGCATATTTTGCTTGTTGTGATTGATAATTAGAATTCTTATTTGAATATATTTTCCACTCGTTGTTTCTAATACAAAAAATATTAACTTTATTTGGGTTTATTAATTATGATCTAACAAATCTTATTCATTTAGTAGCCTTTCTGTAATAATAATCTTTTTCAATTTATGATTTTTACTTATTGAATACAGTAAAAAAATTGGACACCATGTATTTAAAGTAGTTTCCCGTTCCGGTTATTATTTTTAGTTAGGACTTGTGTATGTTTAGATTTCATTATATTTCCCTAAAGATAAAGAATTTATCCGATGTTTGTATTCGTACAATCAGTAGAGATCGTTAGATTATTATTTAAGGTTGACGGACACGCATATCTTAATTAGTTATTTTTTTTTTTTTTTTTACGAATTGGTCAAACCCAAACTCAAACAAAAACATTGTTTTCAATCGTTATGAGTCTCCCGATTGAATAGAATTTTATTATAAATAGTTGTCTTGTAAATGGAATTTTTAAAGCATTCTGAATATTAAAAATAAAAAAAAAAAAGTGTGCAAGAGAATAAACACTACCTGCCAAAAAAAAAAAAAAAAAAGAAGTGAAGTTTTGTTTTATCGGCGGAAAAATATAGGAAATCCGCTCTCATATTTAAAGGAACCCACACACACAAACAACCCGATGTGAGTTGTTCCCCTTCCATTTTCACGATGTCTCTTAATCGTGTTTTCAAATTGATTTTGTGCAAAAACAATTATATTTTTCCCATTTTTGGCGCTGTTAGAACCACCACAAGGTAATTTTATGTAGTCCTGTGAAGTTCTGTTGAAATCGGTTGAAAAATGGAGGAAATCCGATCCAATATATAAACGTTACAAACACACACACACACACACACACACACACACACACACACACACACACACACACACACACACAAAATCTGCGTTTTATAATAAGTAAGATTCATACAAATGCCACGATTATTTTGGGACAGTGGTAATATCTTTTATTTAAACACTACACAGACACTATACAGTTTTATGTAAGAACTCCTGGGAAAGGAGCGTCCTGGGTAAGACAATAAACTTCGTCCAACAGCAAGGCGGTTTTGAGGAGCGTGGAACCACCTTTTAATTGCTGGTGTTCCCAGGTCAACCCTGACCCGGGGTCGTAGCACCTGTTAGGGTCCCAGCTGTGGGCAAATAGTTAACCTCCAAACTGGGGACAAAACACTAAGAAAGTGTAAAAATAGATTTTAATACCAGAAATACATTTTGTAAAAAAATATGTTGCCAGCATAAACAGTATTAACGACATTTATCTGCCTGAATGTCCGAGAAATTTTCATAGAAAATATGCGTCCTCCGACTCTGTTTACCAAAACTCTCCTCTGTGGCTAAATCAGTAAAAAGCACGTCAGGCTATATGACGGTTCAGTATAGGATACAGGTTCGATTCCTGTCGAAGGACGCATATTTTCTATGAGAATTTCTCGGACATTCAGGTCGGTAAATGTTGTTTAATACTGTTTATTATAAAAACAGAGCATTTACTTAAATATTTGTATCTATAAAAAGAAAAAACCGCATAAACATAAAAAAAATGTATTAAAAATAATAATTGTCGGACTTTGTCCATTTCATATATATATATATAATCAGCATCACTCACTGCATGTCAGTAAAGCCACTAAGTCATAAGGGGTTACAAGAGATGGAAGAATTAGGAACAGAAATATTAATAATGAACTTGAAGAGAAAAATAATCAGGACAGTAGATAGCGATTGACATTGCATTTCAATTTTTGCAGATTAAAGTTGGCTGGAAATCATGGAGCCAGGAGTTCCACGATCGAGAAGAAACTGTTAGGCGATGATGTGTCTTTCGATACATGACTGACGAGGCAGATTTTTTCCCGCAGTAGATTGCCATTTCTTTCTGCGGTAGGCCAGTTTTCATCCAAGTCTATAGAACCCGGTCTGTCCCGCTATTTACTCATAGCTAGGGGAGAAGAAGAGGATTCATACCTTTCCCAAGGGTATTAGCACGTAAGTGAATGTAATGGATTCGAATGGAATTCGAACTCGGCTTTCCGATTCCTCAAAAAGCCGACATTGAAATCAAGCCTTTTATCTCTTGCTGAATTAATCTGAATTTCTGTACCAAGAGGATTCTCATATTCAGTCAATTATATGCCACGCGTTCATGCAAGCTTAGACGATCATTTATCTTTCGATACATGACGGACGAGGCAGATTTTTTCTCACAATAGGTTGCCATTTTTTTTCTGCGGTAGACAAGTTGTCATCCAAGGCTACAGAACCCTGTCTGTCCTGCTATTTACCCATAGCTAGGGGAGAAGAAGAGGATTCATACCTTTCCCAAGCGTATTAGCAGGTAAGTGAATGTAATAGGTTCGACTGGAATTCGAACTCGGCTCTCCGATTCCTCAATCCGAACCGCTATCCATTACTTTTACCTGTTTCTATTAAAATAATCTCTGGCAAATTTTGACAAAACCGCTTACAATTTCGTGTATTCTCTAAACTTAAAAACCAAAATTCACCATTTTATTTATTTCGGGATTATTTGTGTTATGCTTATCCCGGTGTTTTCTCTCAAGAGTCCAGGGCCACGAAGTTGCAAAGCTATATTTTGTTGGTGTATTATCCGCAGCAAACATAGTTTTATGATCTTCAGCTGCATGCCACACACCGAGAAGGGTTCAAATCCCAACAGAGCTAGAGATCCTAGTCTACCTTGTTATCAAAGTCTAGCTGAGATGGCAAGAGATAGATTCAAAATTTTGCAAAGGTATTTGTGCGATCAGCCAATCCTACGTTCCATGTCGATAAGCCAACCGTAAGTTTTATTCTAGCAGTTTCTTCTCTCGCTTGTGGAAATATCTTCTAGCCTCTTGCTTTCGAATCAACATTGATTTTAAAGACTCAGACAAAACGTCAACCATTATCTTCTCTCTTCTTAATTCATCTTCGTTTATTGTTCTCTTTCCCTAATGATATTTTCTCTTTTTCATCTCTCATATTCGGCAAAACCTTGTCTTGTTGGTTTTACTACCTTGCTTGGGGTGAAATGGTTAAAAAAAGATAACTCATTCTGTAGAAAAAACAACAACAACAACAAAAAACATCATAGACCCTATATACCAGAAACCACATCATTTGAGGACTACCAACTTTTGCAACAACTAAAATGGATAGCAGATGAATGCTTATTTAGTTAAATAAAAGCTTTCTCATCATTTCATTATGTAGGCTTATTTGTCTATCTTCTAACCTCATGGACTGGAGCTACAGAACTATAAAGTACTGTACCAAATAACAGAAACCACATCACTTGAGGACTATCAACAGCAGCAACAACTAAAATGGATAGCAGATGTAACTCGAAGAGAAAATGCTTATTTTATAAAATAAAGGCTTTTCATCATTTCATTATGTAGACTTATTTGTCTATCTTCTAACCTTATGGATTGGAGCTACAGAACTATAAAGTACTGTACCAAATAACAGAAATCACATCACTTGAGGACTACCAACATTTGCAAAAACTAAAATGGATAGCGGATGTAACTCGAA